TGGCTCCTCTGCTCTGGGAGCGCTTCTCTCGTTTCCCTTTTGTGGGGTGACAGCTGTAATTTGTAGCTGTGCTTTTTTCCGGTGTGTAATTCACATTCTTGTTCCCGAGTCCCTGCATTTTTTACTTATTAGTAGTGGAGTGTGTCGTGCGGTGTGTTTTCCTCCCTCAGAAAGCAGTTCTGTCCCTTCACAAACAAGCCGGTGGCACACTGAAACCGCGGTGGCTTTTGTCCCTAAAGCTCAGCTTTCTAAGGATTAGTTCTGACAAAAGTAAATCTTTACGACTCTTGGTTCTGGATGAGTTCGGCCCAAAAGAGAGCTGTGAACAATACAATGTTATATACAGCCAGTTCATTTTATCCCTGGCATTTGTGCACGTTGCCCATAAAGCGTGGAAGTAGCTGTGCTTGGTGTTACCCTCGGTCCTGATCAGGTTGAAAATGTGTTTATGTTAACATATTGCATGTTTTTCCATCTATATTTTTCGTAGGGTATGGTAAATTTTCAAATGTGCAAAGCTTGTTCTTTTGTACTCGAGCAAAGAATTCTAGTTGGGGGCTTCTGGATTTAGATTGGAAAATATATTTTATAAGTGTGTGCAGTAGCCGAGGGAGGGACGTTTCTAGGGCTCTCAGGTTCCAGTGGCTACGGGTCTTTTCTGGAGGCACACTATAGTTTCCTTTCTGGAAATTGGGATGTTCTGGTTTTCATTAACTAGAAGTATTGGACTTAGAAACCAGGGGATGGCTGGGCAGCTCGTGGAAGTAGTCAATATCAGTAACTAAACTGTTAATGATTAAATTTCAGGCTTGCATTTAACTTCTTCTCCTCACATTCATTTAATTTTGGTAGTTTTGTTTAAAGTTTACTGACTGTGTACTCCCTCGCAGTCTTTCATTTCGTTCTGTTGCCAAGATGCTAATTAGTGGTGCAGTTGTTGCTCTGCCTGGGTGCTGCAGTCGCATCCTTTCGGGCTTCCTGTTTGAGTTTGTTATTCTTCCTCATCATTATCTCCTAAATTATTTTCCTTTCTTTCATGGCCTCTTTTAGGGGATCTTCATAGATCTGTTTTCCATAAAGGAATTAATTTTCTCCTTTATGTTGTGGTATAGGTTAAGCTCTTTTATGTTTGACACTTTGTTCTTTCAAATTCCTTTAGTTGCTGAAAGTAACTGTTATTTTTATGCTTCTAAGTTACACTTTTCTCTATGTTTTTACATTTTGCCAAGAATTACCTCCTAATTGCAAGTGTGGCCCAAAACAAAAGATAATGAGTTTCAATTCAGGAGCTTCAAATCTGGTCTGGTTTATGTTGTTACAAATCTTTCTTGGCAAAACGTTAAGTTGGTAAAACCTGTGCCTTTAATGAGTGGGCCTGAAGAATTTAAGTTTAAAATGAGTATTTTTTGTTCCTAACTTTCTGTTTAGTTGTTGAGTTCTTTACCCATCTACACAGCCTGGCAAAGTCTCAGTTTCTGGAAAAGATAGGGGTTGGTGAAGGAGGAAAAAAATCCTTCAGGCGAAGGAGAACTCTTTTTCTTCCCCTTAAATATGCAAAAAGTCTCAAAGAACAGCATTAATACTTTGATGCTTATTTTCAATGTGTGTTTTGAGGCACAGAGGCTAATAGTGCAGCAAAATTTGCTCAGAGTGATCACATCAGTGATGGAAAAAATACTTTCTTTAGTAACACCATTTTAATAGAGGAAGGAAGTGTCTTTGATGATCTCTTTTAAGTTTTTTTAAAATCCGTGGTCATTTTACAGTACTGATGTGCTATTTTTTTGTAGCAGTTGTGTTTGTTTCCTAATGACTTAATCGTTCGTCTGTGCTATTTTCTTATTTTTTCAAATTGGCTGTTGGATTGTGTTCACATTGCCTTTTAAATATTGAAACATGTCTCTCCCTACCTCTGATAGACCAAACATTTTTTTTTTATAACCTTCACATCTTAAAATGGGTGATTAAAGATACTGTTAATTGACAAAGCTCAATGACATCAGAACAGTATTTTTAAAAGCTTCAAAAAATGAAATACATCCTTTTTTTGAAATTCTTGTATAAAATGTAAAACACTAACATTACTGAGCTCTCTGTGTAAAAGGATAATGATCAGAGCGATGGTGCTGGGGTATAACTTATGCTCTGGTAGATTATCTCTTTAAGATTATTCCATGTTGCTAAGTAACCTGATTCAGAATTTCATTTTAAAATGTATGGTGTATAATGCATAATTGATTTAACAGTTACAATTTTTTTTTTTTTGCTTTCAGTCAATTGAAGAAAATGAAGTTTATCTGCCTAATGATGAGCTCTGGATCTATGAAATAGATAGTGGGTTATGGTGAGTTGAATAATTTATATTTAATTAATATATAAATTTGATCTTTGCGTAGATTGCAGTTAGCTGCAGTGAAAAGATTTTACATGTCCATGTTCTCTGGAGTTTAAACAGCAGATGTTTAATGTAAAGACTGAAGAACAGATAAATGTACTTGCAAATTAACTCTAGGGAACACATTAATTCCTTAAGTGTAGTTGTTTTTTTTCAAGAGAGTGTTTGAAATGGTTGGCTTAAGGTTCTGTTGCTAAAATACATGGGTTTATTTGGGCATTTTATTTTGGCTTAGTCCTCCAGACATTAACTTCTATGTTAAAAGGAATATTTAAACAGTGAATATTTGGGGTCTTGATCTGTTTACAATTTTATTTTTTTTGTTATTACTTAATCATGTTCTGAGTGGGTTTGCATAACTGACTCCTAACTAGCACATACCACTATCAATTTAACCTTTACATTTTACATTAATTGTGTTTACGTATCGTATGCAGCGAGGGAGAACAATGCCTCTTTTTAAAAGTCTTCCAGTGGTTTCTGTTACAGTAATTGTATTCAGTCTGGTGAAGTAGTTAGTATCCATCCGGGCTTAGATGGTTTTTCTTCTGCCAGCTGCCTTTCTGTTTAAGTATTTCTTGCATACCCATATTGAAAGCAGCAATTTGGAGAGAGAAGGAGAGGAGGGCTTACTCTGTGTACAAAGTTCCACGTGGCCAGGTCACTGACTTGGAAAACTACAGGTTGCCTGTGGTCAACTCTGAAGTTCTAGCAAGACTTTTTTCATATTTTTTTTTTTTTTGTCCCCGTGCCTGTTGTTACTGGTACAGATGTTTATATGGTCACCTGGGGAGTTGGATCGGGCAAAGGATCAGGGTTAAATATAGCTTTTCTTATTTTCAGAGCTGTTTTTAACCTGAGTCCATTCTTGATCTCATTCAGTTTGCAGCACAAACAGTCGCACGCAGCATGACACGGGAACAAGCAGGAACAAGAGAGAAAGGGCAGGAGGGCTGGCCTGGGGCAGGGCTGGTGCCAGAAATTTGGAAGCGATGCCCTGAGCAGTCATGAGCGAGCACCGCTTTTACTAGGAATAAGTTACCCTTGCATTGGTCACCTCTGGTGATTTAGCACATCCAGACCGTTTCCTTCTCGTGGCTGCCTCCAGTCCTTTTAGGTTGGGGTAAGGTCAGGCGTCAGAACTCAAAGCTGTAAGCATCTTTCTCTTCTGTGTGGCCAGAAAACGAAGGCACCTGATCTGGACGTGGATGCGTCGAAGGAGGAGATGAGCGGAATTGACGGAGTCAAAAAGTGCGGTGACGTTAGACCTAGCAGAGAGGAGTGGAATCAGGCTTTTTGAAGAAAAATTGGGCTCCTATATCTAGAGGCTGGAAGCGCGGTGACAAGGTGGAAATCCTGAACAAAGCACATGCCTGCTGTGCGTGTCAAAGGGAAGTTTTCTGGAGTTCGAGATCTAGGGAAGCTGGTTTTGAGGTGGAGTAACAATTCGAAATGCAGCCTTGGCCTCCTGAGTTTGGCAGAAAGTGAGTTTTGTCCAGTAGTAGCGGAGTGAGGGTGTGAATTCAGAATTTGTGTCGCAGGCGTTTACTGATTCGTAAGCGAGACGAGCAAGGAAAAGGCTAGGAACTGCTGCTGCAAGACACAGAACTCGTTGCTAAAATTGCCGTTACTGAGGATTTTTTGTTATGCTAAATACAGCACAAAACGCAGTTTTAGGAGCGGCATATTGGGTACGAAAATTAGCGAGTACTTCTGACCTTTATTTCTTCCTCTGCCTCAGTTTTCCATTTGTAAAATAACAGCAATGCCACATTCTCATTTCAGGAGCTTTTGGAGACAACGTTTTGAAAATTTCCACGTTTTGAGTAATTGATATTTTGGCTCCACTAATGCTATTTTAACACGGGCTTCAGAAAACTGGAGTTGCTTCGTAAAGATGTGCACGATATTTGCGTGAAAGCCCTCTTTCAGCACAAGAGCCTCGCTTCATCTGTCAGCTCTAGTCTCCAGTTCTAGTTATGGCCAAAAACTGTGTTTTTAGCTTAAAGTCTAAAACTGATTAACACATCTGGTGTGGGCTTTTTGAATTTTAGCACATGTGAAAGCAGCATTATGTATGTGCTAAATTGCAGGTCGATGCACCTGATGGAAGGAGAGTTACCTACCTCCATGTCAGGAAGCTGTGGAGCAAGCATTAATGGGAAGCTCTACATTTTTGGTGGATTTGATGATAAAGGATACAGCAATCGGGTATCGTATTCTTCTTTTTCTCCATAACATTGTATTTGAATGAAGAATAATGCTGACGCTACTGTTTTGGCTGGTACGCTTCATGTTTGAATTAAGTAGAAACATAAGGAAAAGCTTTATTTTGGGGAGAAAAAGTGCACTTCTAAACTGACCAAAAAAAAAATTTACCTTTGATTTAGTGTTCAACTCCATATATTTTTCTCGGATTTTTCATGAAATCACAGCTTCAGAATAAGACCCATTATGTGAAACTTTCTGAATTTATTTTCTGAAAACTGCCAGTGCTTTCCCAATTGTTTTTTTGGTTTTATTTGCTTTTTTTTTTTTTAATAGGCTGGCAGCCAAAATTGAAATTGATCTCAGAATATCGCTTTTATTTTTGCTCTTTGATAACGATTACCTTTCTTAGGTAATCAGATAATAATTAAAATGAAAATCGAGCTGCCAGTTTTCCTTGCGACTGAAGGGTCACAAAGTAGATGAAATGAGCTGTTTTATCATTTAGCATAAATGAAGTCTGAGTTCAGTCCTGACTAGAAAATAACTGAAGTGGAGCCTGTAATGAAATCTCAGCTGGGGGTGGAGGGTTTTTCTTGGTGGTGGTGGTTTGTGCTGGCTTCTTCAACGTAATTTATACTGAAAATATTGTAATTTTTTTCTTTTAAGCTGTATTATGTTAATTTGCGAACAAAAAATGGAACCTATAGGTGGAAAAAAATTACAAATTTTAAAGGTCAACCTCCTACACCACGTGACAAGCTTTCCTGCTGGGTGTATAAGGACAGGTAACACATTAAGAATATTTAATATGTGTTAATTGCAGAGAGGAAGTACTATAAAGTGAAGAGCACACGGGTTTGGGATTCATGAAACTCTAATTCTTAGCTTGCCTTGCTATGGGATTTTGTGTAACTCTCCTAAACAACTTTCTACCAGAGTTTTCTCACATGTGAGCTGAATTAATGGTAAGTAAAAACCCACTTTAGGAGAGGGTTGGGAAACGTAGCGCAAGCTTGTGGGATGCTTTGAGACTTTAGATAAACAACATTGTGCATCTGTTACTTACGTTTTTAATTGCAACACGTTAAAAATCGGTATACAAAGTGCATTTTTTTTACATTGAGTAAGCATTACATCATTACCTGCAGCGAGTATATTTAGCTTATTGTCAAGGGCTTTAATAGCACCCAAATGGTGACAGTCACGAAGGCATTTCAGTGATTGTTTTCTAAGAATGAAGTCAGCCCAGATATTTGTGTTGTAAACGTCACTGGGTGTATTTAGAAAAAAATGTTTAGCTAAGAGAGTACTTCAGAAAGTGTTTCGATGTTGTGGCATGTTTGGTCACGAGGAAGTGACACGTCTGTGATTTGTTGTAAAAGTTATTGGGAACAAGTAAGAATATGGTACGGAGTGAACACTACAAAATATGAATTTGATTTATCTGTTTCTGGACTCCACATCTAAAGAGGTTTGGCATAAACTGTGTAATGCCTCTCAGCACTATACCTTGATTTTGTAATTTTACTTTAACTGCAAGATAGATGAAATTATGTATTTTTGAACAACTTCTCCTTAGCTGTTAACGCAAGATTATTCGAAACTAAATTAATCGATTCAGAGCATGTAATTGTGTAATCATGTAATTGGCATACTGAGAAAATCACCTATTTTAGGTGGCAAAGCATTACCTTTTCATTTAACAGAAGTTTCGGGGGGGACAAGCTACACAGCTTCGCAGCTTTTCAGCAGAAGGACACCTTAAAATCTCAACAACATGAGAATTTGCAGCTCGGGATGTCTTGGTGTATTGCAGGATGCTTTCAGTAACTCTGTTTCCCTAGGAATGTCAGTTGGGATTGACCTTCACCATCCCATCATTTCCTAAATTGCCTTCTCCCAAACAGCTATACCAAAGCTTTAGGAACCATTACTTATGGATGGCCTTTTTGTGGGTGGAATATTAGGCTGGGAGGTGTGTAACAATACTTGCAGCACGATACGTTCAGTAGTGGTCAGTTGAAAGAATCTCGTTAGCCACTGGAGAAAGGCTTTTGTGGGTCACAGGGAGTCTGGGGGAACATTTGTTGTGAGAAAATGTGTCCAGAAGGCTCACAGATAGAGCAGGAGCACTGGAATTTGGCTAGACAAGGGTAGGAATTCTAGCAGAAGCGTGGGCATTTTGCTGTCTTGTGTGTTACGTGTCGTTTTGAGACTCGTGTCTGCAGATGTCACTGATAAAGAAGCATTTGGGTGGAGGAGTAGAAAATAAGGACCTCAAGATATCTTGAACCTCTTTCCTTGCTTATATGGATTTCTGTCAGGCTCCTCGAGGAGCGTAACTATTACCTGTATGGAATTAGGTGCAACATGAATTATTTTGTTTGTGTTGTTAATAGTAGAGCAGGCAACCCCAAATTTGACGTGAATTATTACAGCTTACTCACTCGAATGTTATTTACAAAACAGGTAACTTAACTTCCTTTTTGTTGTCTTCTAGGCTAATATATTTTGGTGGCTATGGCTGTAGGAAGCACAACGAGCTGAGCGATTGTTTTGATGTCCATGATGCATTTTGGGTAAGAGATTTGTCACAATTCAACGCAATTTGTCAGGTCAGAACCTAGTCTTTTACTGTTCGCTCAGCAAGTACGAAAATACGTCTGATTTTTTCTTGTGTTTGTAACATCAGCAGAAATCCAACCTAGAATCTTCGACTTGAAATTTCAGACGTTGCATGCTGGGAGCGATGGGTGTTCAGTATATTCCAAGTTCCCAGTTATAGGCTTTGGCCGCAATGAAACAAAATGCTGTCAAGGCAGGAACAAAGTATTTGAAGATGTGTTTTAAACATGAAACTCTCAGAAAATTTTGGAATATATTTCCTTGAAGGTAACGATAGGGAATTTGTAGCTTTGCAAATCTGACTGACAAATACCTTCACTTAATTTCTTCAATTTGTTTTCCAGATCTAATGTCATTAAAAATAAAAATGCCTGGATTAGCTCATTTACTATAGTGATTTATTACAGTTAATAGAAGGAGGCTGATTAGAGTATCTAGTGGCAGGAATTAATAAGAATTAAATATGCATTCAACGGAGTATAGATCCATACATCCCATGTTAAATATTGACCTACAGAAACGTATTACTTTGTGCAATCCATTTCTTGCTCGGCATGTTGCACTGAAAATGAAAAGGTAGAACTTGTCTACTGCAGTGACTGATGTTGGAGCCCCAAACCCATTTTCAGAAGCGTCCCCGGCCCTTTCTCTCCTGAATGCGCTTGGTTTTCAACTAGAGCCGAGCTGCTGCCTCGGTATTAAAAATCTCAACATATGTTTCTTTGAATAAAGTCCTGTATTTTAGTTTATTTTCTGTTTTGCTAGATCATTTCCGGATTTGCACTCTTATTTAAAACTCTTTGTGCTTGTTGAATACACTCACTTTTAATCTTTTAACTTCTTTTGTAGGAAGGACAGATATTCTGGGGATGGCATAACGATGTTCATGTTTTTGATACAACTACACAAACTTGGTCTCAACCAGCAATTAGAGTGAGTGTCTTCCAGTCTTGTCTTCTGACACAGTTGGTTTTTACTGCATTTTGAATTGTTACTGGGCCCTAGAAATTGATGTTTGAAAATGTGAATGTGCTTAGTATTGCTCAGGCTTATACCATTAAACAGGAGGACGCTCAATGCCTTTGAAATGTGGAAAATTCAGAACTAATGGGATTTCCCCCTCCTCCCCGGGATGTTATTAGATGGGTGGTTTTTTCTGTGGTGTGGTTCTGATGCAAAAAATATCATCAGCTTCAGAGACGTGTTAGAACTCTGGATACATTAGAAGATAATCCAATATTCTATATCTGGGGGATAGTTTTGAGATAAAGCTTTGTGTTCGAGCTGGAAGACAACTGTCTGGAATCTAAAATTACTGCCAGTGCTGCGTTATTGGAAAGATAAGGCACTGGAGTACTCCAGAAAACAGTTTAGTAGGAATAACAGTGTGAGGCTGAGGAAGGAAACGTGGAGGCATTTCGGTGGCTTCTCATGATGAGGCGAGATTGGATCATGCAGAAAGGGATTACGGCAATTGCACCGACTTTGGGTGGCCCTGCCAGGAATTCGGATAAGGGAGAGATTCATGGCTGGAGCCTTGAAAATCTTTTGAACAAACGTCTCCCAGTCCTGCCATCTTGTCAGAATAAACAGATCGGGTACTCTTCAGCAGATGTGTTATTTTAGTAGTCTTCCAAAGGAGCACACGTGCTCACTTTCCCAGTGAAATAGCGATGCACGCATTTCTATGTATTGATATTAATGTGATAGTGTATTATAAAAGTTCATAAAATCTCAGTGAGTTTGCACAAGAACTCAGTACAAGGAGTACATTGTAACGAGTGTCTGACAGTATTTTATGGTCTTTATAGGTTGTTCTACAATTGCTGTAAAACTAAGTGCAAAAAACTAAAATTACCATTGAAAAGTAAAAGCCAGTTTTGCTGTCTTTATTTCTGATGTAGGCAGGGAAGACTTTTTCAGATCTGGCTGTTGGCTTTTAGTGCCAGTTCCCAACGGTTTGCACTTTGGGAAAATAAAGCTGCGCGGGAGATAGCAAAAATAGCTGATGTGCAAGTGTAATTTTATCCTTAGGAATTAAAGATAAATTAACTGAATTTTTCTTAAGTAAAGCGATGAGAAATCAGACCAAGAGTGAATATGCTAAACATTAAGCAACTGAGGGAACTCAGTTAAAGTGTCCTTGGCAATTACTTGTATCTTCTAACTTCTGCAGCGTTTTGGACGTGACTACAAATTATTTCCTTTCAAAGTTGCAGCTGTGTCAGCATCCTGATGCATGTTGACCTTCCCTTGGCAGTCTCTGCGTCAGTGACTTGCCACCATCCCGGGCTGCTGCTTTGATGACGTTCTGAAAGATCTTCCTTTTGATTCTTTCAGGGCGGAGATCCACCTCAGCCTCGAGCAGCTCATACATGTGCTGTGCTGGGAAATAAAGGTTACATCTTCGGAGGACGAGTGCTGGTTAGTGTTGAATTAAAACGTTTTCTTGGCAGTAATGTCGTTTTCTCAGCAGTTACTTTTTAATAGCAAATCTCTTTGTAGAAGAAGAGTCTGTCTTTCTGTCTTAAGTATTCACGATGAAGAGTTCATAGTCCAAAAATGGGAAAAAACAGGTGACAGTGTGGTAAATGCAAACGTTTATCAATCAGCAAAGAAGGTTAACGCGTACATAACCTCTGCAGGAGATAATTTTTGAGAGTGGAGCAAAAGCAAGCCTGCTGATAGTCCGGGTTTAAATAAAGGATGAGACGCCAGCATTCTGTGCTTGCTACAGCTTAGCAGATTTATACATCAAACCTGCTGGCTGGTTTTTTCCCTCCATTTCATTTAAGGAAATACTAGCAAGTAGTAAATCTACCTGGGATTTTAGCTTGTGCTCACCCTCCAGCTAAAGAAAGAGGAGATGTGTAAGCACAGTTGGTAACTCATGTTCATGTCCACACTTCTCATACGCTGGTGCTCACATGCTGGGAAACTGAAGTTGAGAATAGCTGTTGGGTTGCAGCAGTTTATATTTACAGTTGCAACACGTGGTTCTGAAAGGCAGGAAATAACAGTTTTCAGCTGGCTTTATCATTTAAACTTCCGTCACTTTTTTTGCACCTAAGTAACCGAAATAGAGATCTCTGGAAGAGCAGGTTATAATGTTTTGGTACGAAGCTCTTAGTCTCCGTATGTTGTACCCGTACAGAACGCTGTGGCACGGTACCTGCCAGCATAGGCTCCTGCAGACACAGGCCACCCCGGTCTTGTTAAACTTCTTTTCTGCTCTCTGAATGTCATTTTTAGAGTCTCAGTCTTTACCTTTAGCGTGCTATGTGCCCTCTATCCGGAACGTGCAGCATACCGCAGAGATTGCTGTTAACTTTTTCTGTGGATCCAACACAAGCTCTTTAACATGAGAGTAAAGCTTGTGTTTGCTTTCTGGATAGTCAATCCAAGACTACAAAACGCTGCTGGAGGATCTTAAATCTGCTGTCCCCTAGGTAATAGTCAAAGGTAGCCTAAGAGCTGGCTGGAAGGATGCAGTTGGCACTTACTTAAATCAAGGCTAGGTTCTTGCCACATAATCTTAACCCCTCCTCTTTCTAACTCAAAAAAAAAAAAGCCATAGGCATCATCCCTCTGGTTCTTTGTACCAAGCAAACTTGAGGCCACCAGTGATAAGGAGGAGATCCTAAAACCTCTCAGCAACATGTTTTTTTTAGTAATAGAGGAGATTTTCTCTTCATTTCTTCATTAGTGTAAGGATTTAAGCCCAAGGCAGCAATCCAATAAAAAAACCATATTCCGGTCTTGTGTCTGAAAATAAGGATGATATAGTGGGGTAGTCCTAACTAATGCAGGCTCCCTTATCATATGTTATTTTTTTGCAAGGATGGTTTCTTTATGGGCGGGGAAGTGTACAGGCTCTTTATAGAACTGTTGTGAAAGCATGGCGAAGTTAATATTTTTAAAGATCTCTGTAAATTGAGCTGGAGTTTATCAGGAATGTGAGAAACAGATTCTGTAAAGCAAGTAAAAAAAACCTCCTAGTTTAAGTTACTGTGTACTCCTCCCTATTTTTTTCATGTAAGTTTTTAGCTCTTTTTACCTACAGCTAATTTAGGGCTTTTAATCATATTCAGCTCGAGAGTAAGACTTGATGCTTTCTATCCCCTAAGAAAAGTAACAGTAAAGAAGCTTCTGAAAGCCTTCCCTCCGCATTTCTATAGTTCTGTTATACGAAAGAGAAGGAATTAACCGTTGGTTGGAAATGCCCCACAGTGAACCTGTGCCAGCTTCCTCTGGGAAAGCTGCCACAACCTAAACCCTGTATTCTCAAGTACTTGCAAATAAAATTGCGGTGTAAAATTGCACTTCGTTCCCCATCCCCTGTTTTTTTTTTCTCGTGCTGTAAAAGCTGTTCACTACCGTGGCATTCTTCTCAGGGCAAGTCTGGGGTTCTGTTACAAGTGGTGTTTACTCCTGCTTCCTCAGACAGAAACCAGACGTACGGATTGAGGCAGGTTCTGAATGGCCTCTCAAAGCCCGGCTGGTTTTTCAGTTTGACTCACCTGCCGCGGCTACAGGAAAAGTTTTGACCCAAGTACCTTTTCAGAAAAGAAAGCAACCACGGTTCATCCTGTTTGTTCTTAACTGTTGTGCGTCACGTGGCTTTTCTGCCCATGACTGCTGGAATTGTTGCTAAAGCCTTACCTCTGACTGAAAGAGAACTGTAGTTTTGGACAGACTTGATTTGCGAATAACTAAGGAAATAAAGGGATATTAGAAGAAATTGAAAAAGTGGGTGGTCTTACTCAAATGTCGTGTCAGGGGTAGGGTTTGCCAGGCAGAGTGAGCCCTGCGCCTCTGCTGTGGCCCTGCTCTTCCTAACTACAGCTGAGCTGAAGCCTGCTCCTCATTTTAGCAAGCCTGCAGACCTGAGAGGGAAAGAAAGAGAACTGTAAAGACGTAAACACGCAGCTCAGGACCTTCTGACCTACCGTTTAGCTCCAAACAGTCCCTCAGCCTTCAAAGCCTCACTCTCTCTGGCTTTTTGGTAGCCCAGGCTGTCTTTGCGCGGTGCAGAGGTCCTCAGCCCAGAAACAGAAGAGCACTGAGGGTTGTGTCCGAGCCGGATAAAGACCTGCCTGTGCCTGGTGCAGCTGGACTGCTTTGTAACTCAAGCTGGGATTCCCATGCAGCCTCTGCAAGTGAAATTATTAGTAAATTGGAGCTTGCCTGGCATTTCTGCACCCTGAATGATGAGATACGCCCTAAGATGACATGTGTCCTCTGGCTTCTATTTAACTCTGGCTGTTTGACTACAGGATTCAGAAATACAAGAAGGCTTTGATGTGAAAAGGTTTTTTTCTGTTCCTCATGTAGCATCAACTTCCTTAATAAACATTTGCTAAATTTCAGTGAAAGCCCGTGGGGAGCATGTCAGAGAAGAGTGAAATTTCGTAAATCTATTAATTTTGTAGGAGAGCAGTGAGTGTAGTCTTCACCATAATGATTATCATTGATTCACTTTCTATCCTAGAAATAAATGAAAGCATACTTAGAAAGATTAGGAAACGTTCAGTGGGGCTTGAGGAGTTCATATAAGTCATGAAACAGGCAAGGAAAACACTGCACTTCCTGGCAACAGGAGTAACTCCTCCACAAAGGATGAAGTCTTGCTTTTCTCCATAAATGAAGGAGCAAATACTGGGTTGCTCTGCTCCTCCTTCTCCTTCTAGTTCACCATAATACAAATCTTCCCAGGGAAAAGGCTCTACAAGGAACCAGAAAGGGCCAGGAAGTGTCATGAGGCTTCTCCTATTCATCTTTCTGGGAGGAAGGGGCACCTTTTTCCAAACTTGGAGCTAGAACTGGTAAAAGAAGAAGATGATGATGATCAAAAATCAATTGTACTGTGAATCATTTGAAAACAGGCTCAGAAGTATTTTGTGGACTCTGTTCCTCCAGGTAAGCCCCTGAAAAAAACAGAAGTGGGAGAAAGTGGGAATGAAGGAGAGTTAGTCCAAGAGTTGATGCAGGTCTCATGTTTGATTTAAGTGGAAAGTTTTCATGTCAAGTACAATGAAGTAATAAAAGTCTTTCCAGCAGCTCTTCGCACACCTGATGCCTTCGTGTACGCATGCTTATATTTCCTGTTACCCTTTCTGTCCCTGAAGATCAGAAGATGAATTGAACTGCAATCCTTCTCTTACAAAGATCTGAGCTGTAATGGCTGTTTGATGTAAATCTCAGAAGGGAGAGCTGCACAGAGTTTACTCTAACGGCAGCAAGCTGTAAATATGTCACCCTTAATGCCTTTCGTCATTCTAGAGAGCTGATCCTGAGATGAAGCAGATCTTAGTTCATGTTTACTGGGCTGCAAATAAACAAACGTGCTACGGAAACACAGGATGGCGAGGAGTCCTCATAGCTCAGAGGGAAATGCAAACCCTTTTATGAGGCTTGATGCTTTTAAGCCAATCAAAAATCATTTTAGGATTATCAGCAAAGTGATTAAATAAAGCGGGTAGCATTTAAGGGGGCCGGTTAGCTCAGTCAGTTGAGCGTAGCACTAACGACACTAAGGTGACGACACTAAGGTGGCGGGTTCGATTCCCATTCGGTCTGCATGTGTTGCCTGATCTAGCCGAAAGGTGGCGTCCCTGGTGACAGGAAGACTGGATTAAATGATCTCTAAGGTCCTTCCAGCTTAGGCCATTCTGTGATTCTATGATTTAGAAATACAGGAGGAACTGCAAGAAGACTTGGCGTGTTGCAAGTGCCAGTACTATAACGTGTCCGTGTGCTTTGCAATTTCTGAGATAAGGGCTGGGTGGAAAGGCATTTTGATTTGTTAAAGCTGTGTTAAAGGACTGACTTTTAAACAAAAATGTCCAACTGAGGCTGTGTGTTGAATTCAAAATGAGGTTGATGCAATTATGCATCTGTCAGTCTGTTGAACCATGAGAATGTGAAGATGATATGATAATACATTGATTTCCCAGGGCCCAAGAGAACTGAAAGCTGCTCCAGCTTCGAGCTAATGCCTAGGAGAGGAAAGTCAGCGAGGAGTTCTTGAACAGGATCTTCTTGAAACCTTAATTTCCAGCATAACAGCAGCTTGCTTTCTTCCTCTTTAATAGATGTCTTCTGTATCGAACTGTGTTATTCTTAGGTGATTAGATATTTTTTAGCTCTAGGGGCCAGGATGTTGCTTTTTCCTTGAGGGGTCTAGTTGCATGCGGGTACAGCAGGAGATACTCCATCATTGCATTTTGCTTTTTTGTTTGTATAATTTGTTCTTTATCACCCTCAAAGCCACCCGGAGGAGCAGGAAACTGAATAGAAGGAAGGCAGATCTCGTCCACTAGCTGTCAGTCGGGCCATGTTGTATTATTCTATTCACCCTCTTGCAGGGATGAAGTTTCTAAGCGATGCACAAAAGCCCTCGCGTTCTGCTTTTCTTTAGCCCGTTGGCCTCTCTGAAGGTGATTCAAAACACCCGTTAACATTCTCCTCCCTAGGATGGAAAAGGGCTAGCACACACTCGATCAGAGGAGGCCGTAGCTATCGTGAAAACCCTGCCAGTTCCTGGAATACCCTGAGAGACTTACCGCAGCTCTGCTGGAAAGCTTTGGAAGTCTCTCAAGCTCACCAGTAACTGGCTGAGTTCTCAGGGGTAAAACCGCTCCTATTCTGACTTAAGTGACAAGTCTAGTTTCTGCCTCAAAGGATCTGCAAACTGGAGAAAGGCTTATTCTAGTAGATCTATGGACTACCCTAAGAGCAAAGAAATTGTAAGGTAAGGCAAGATACATTTCCCTACTTCTCAGATGTGTTTTGTAGTACCTAGGGGAATCACAAAGATCAGTCAGGTGCGCTGAAAATATTGCTGCAGTCTAAAGGAAGGAGTTTCTTTCTTACAGTCTCCCCTTTATGTTTCTAAGGCAAATACTTCATCTCAAAACACAGGCAGATTTGTGTATCGATTTCCCACAGAGCTTCTTGATACGTTTTATTATATCTATGGCAAATGCTAAAAGGTCCTAAAACCTTGTCGTTGCTAGTAGTAACTTTGTGAAAGGGCTTGCCTTTGGGGAGAGAGAGAAGAACACAGATGTGAAGAATATTTTGGGGATGTCCTGTGCTGAGTATGGTGCCTACTCGAATATTTCAAGTGGCTGGGGCAGGAGGACGCATAGTTCTGATGAGAATGCAAAGCAAAATGATGAGAGGAAACTATAGGCAGAGTATTACACCTTCTGCAATTACCTACCGTGAGAGTACACCTGTAGGAACTGAGTATCACATAGTTCTTCACTGTTAAACTACTTCTGAAAGCTAAAATTGGCCCCACACGGCTGTTGTGTTACTGTAAATATTCCTGACCGATAGTTTTCTGAGGATTGCATGGGGGTTTTGAGAAGAAATGCTTTTCATCTGCCACAGGATACAGAGTTGTCTGAAGGCATGTGGGTACGGTTTCCTTCAAAATGTTGTTATTGGAATATTCTGTCCTGGGAAGGCCTGGCTGAAATACTTGGCTCATTGTTTGCTTGATGTAACACAACTGGGATTTTATTTCTTTGTTTTAGCAAACAAGAATGAATGATTTGCACTGCCTGAATTTAGACACTTGGACTTGGTCTGGAAGGTAGGTTTCTCTCGATGACACTTAAAGTTAAATGTAGCAGATTGAAACATATTGTTGAAGAGTTCCAGTGCTAATTTTGTAGCTTTTCTGAGAGGAGAATGAGAATTTGGAGACTCCTTTAACAGCTGTTGTCTTGTGATGTCAATTTAATTTAATTTGGTAGTGGTTACTAAGCATTTTCTGCTCGACACCGAAGCTTTGATGATTCTATTTTAAGCACAGCATGTAGGGATTTAACATCCTCATTTCCAAGATGAGTGCATTTACCCACATGGAATTTTAGTTTCGATGTCTTTTGGAATGCTGCTTTCACTACCTCTTTGTGGCTTGTTGTGGCACAGACTGGGGAAGGATCTCCCCTCCTCAGAGATAAATGTCTTTCCCATTATTTTTTTAAAGATCGAGTAAAAGCATAGCCTAAATATTTCAATTTTAAACTTAATCAGATATTGATGTACCCCCTAAGATTTGTTTATTTGTGCGTAGCATTTATGATCGTGCCTACTCCATGTGTCGAATCAGTGGATGTATTATTGACAAACCAGGAGATAATCAGTGACTGATGGGTGATAACCGCTGTTCTGTTCCTGTCTTCAGGGTAACCTGATAGCAATTGCATAAAAGCCATGAAAAAGACTTCTCTTTGAAGGTTTCTTTAATTAGCACTTAGGACAAACTGGTCAGTTTGATTCCCCTTTTGCTTTGTCAGTTATTTTTTAAATTAACGCTTTTCTACCTAAATAATGGCGTTGTCCCTCTTAGACCGTGAACTTCACCTCTGAGCAGGTTGATTATTCAGATAATTGCTTTAGCTGTTTACTTCTTGTTGTTGCATGAGCAGCTGCTGTTTGGCTTGCTTTTAATTGCTTTAAAGAAGGAAGCCCGTGACAGTCGAGTGACAAGTCAATGAGAGGAGTTTCAAGCCGCAAAGGAGGGAGGTCAATGTCAGAAGTTCTAAGCCTTCGTCAGCCAGCGCTCCCTTTTGTTTGGCATTTGAAAGCTGATATTGAAGATACATGGGATACCATACCCATTAGCGTAATTTCACCACCTGATTACAGAAGGAGCAAAAAATCTGTGTATCATTCAGGACAAGGTCAAATTAGTATTTATCGTTTGAGTCCAGTTTGCAGCCTGACTTTGCACAAACGGTTTGGAACATTATTTCTGGCTACGTGCTTCCTTTCATAAAATCAGTAGTGGTGGCTCTATTAGAAATTGGGCATTTATAGGGACCGTCTCCAATACAAAGAACTTGGTCCCAGAAGTCCCAGGATTCCACACAGAAAAATCATAAAATAAGACAAAGTAGATGTAGGCCTTTTTTTTCCTCCTCTCTTCTTTTCTTTCTTTTTTCTTTTATCTGAAGTTTATATAGTAAAGAACTGCTTGCTGAGACCAGTATAGTCATGTTACAATAGTGTGAAGTAAAGAAAATCACTCTGTATCCTTTGAGTACCAACAGTAGTTTTGAATAGTTAAAATCAGACAACTCATTTCCAACTGTAAACTGCCTCTAAAAAGGCCTGATGTCATTCCAGTATTGTACAGGTGAGGAAATTCCTTCAGACTTGTTTGCTGTTAGGGTGAGTGTTTTTTCTAGGTATTTCTTTCCAGGAACCTTTCTTAAGCTACAGCTTCAAATTCCTTTTCTACTGGAATTTCTGATCCTATGAGGAATTAAAAATTGAGCAGGATCGAGCCTTTTTGATCTTGGTAACAGAACGATCTCAGCCATTCTGCAGCCTTAGAGAGATTGTCTTCGATCGCCCTATGAGCTGTCACCACACGAGACTCAAGGATTTAATACAGATTAAAAAGTTTGGCTGGCTGAGTGCTGCTGACCAAGATAAGGTGACTGCATGTGTTGGAAGTTCTTCTGTAAAGCACCGATCTCCCAGCGAGGAGGGCTTGGTTTGTACAGTCCTACATTCAGATTCACTTACCAGACATCCTCTCCTAGAAGAAAAATTCCAAATGCAATGATGATTTTTTTTTTTTATTTAAAGACCCATGGCTTTCCATTAAGCAGTCATTTCAAGTTTTTTTTTTTTTCCTCTATGCAGGTTTCTTATGGAATTGCATAATGTTAACCTGCTAATCCAGGAATATCTTCCAGTGTGGGATTACAGTATTTATTTTGGTTGCCACTACCCAGAAGCTGCCTTGCCTTCCCTGAGCTCCACTGACCTGTTAGGGAAAATGTTCAGTATAATGTTATTTCCATTACTCTGATTTTTTTTTTTGTATTGGTAGCATGAAAGATTGAAACGTTATCACCCATCAGTATCTGATACATATTTTTCTAAATACCAAAGCCTCTAACTGAACCGTAGATGCCTGTGTTACCAGACTTGTTCTCCAGACCCTGCCCCAGCTCCGCTGCCCTTCTCTGGGCACGCTCCAGCCCCTCAGTGTCCTTCTTGTCGTGAGGGGCCCAGAACTGAACACAGGGTTTGAGCTGCAGCCTCACCAGTGTCAAGCACAGGACTAAAATTCTGACCCCACAAGAGAGCTTACAGGTGTTTGCACCCCCTTTGTCCATCCTCTTGCCAAAAGGAGCACACACCGAATGTGCAGCAGCCTGGATTCTTTGTGTCTAACTCCAGGTACTTCACGGCAGAAGTTGCCTCTTTGTTTAGTATCGAGACTAGGTGGGCTGATGCCCTCTGGAGGTTCTCCCACTTCTCTGCCGGATCGTCCTGAGGCAACTGTGCTCAAAAGTGCCCAAAACTCATCCAGTGTGAATTCAGGGCATGCAGTCTAGGTAATCCCTTACTGGGCTGCTAAAATTAAGTCCATATCAAACCCTTATTTTTTGCAAGGTGAGCGGATTTTGAGAATGAAAAACCTGCACCTGTTTTGTACTTAGGAATTCCGTTTTTTGCTAAAACTAATCTCAAAGTTTGGCAACCCACCACTGTGTTAAGAGGAGCAATGGTTGAAGAGGTAGTAGCTTTTGAGTAGAAGGTAAAGCCACCATCCTTGTATCATTTCAATAATTTTCCTAGGAGCAGAGAGACTGTAGGCCCTCAGAATTCATTGCATTTTACCTCAACTAACCAAGGCTGTTTACCTATGTGCACTGTGCAATTTATTTGAATATATAGACCTGTCGTTGCTGTCCTAATTGCTTTTGGTTTTACCTTCAGTAGCGAGTTTAGTGATCTTAAGAAAATACACAAAATAAAGGTAAGGACGAAAGCATTGGTTGTTGATATTTACATAACTGATTGTTCAGGTAACAGCTGTTACAAGAAATTACTCTTTTTAGATTTGAACACGGCTCTTCTCAAGAGTAAATTCAGACTGGCTAAGTGCAGCTTTTTCACTGGGAAAATATCCACGTTCGTTCTAGGACAAACTAAATTAACTATTAAATTTTCTGATGGGTTAATATCCAGCAGTCTTTGCAAATTTGTTTTTATTTGTTTCACCAAGAATTAATATCAGTGGAGAGAAACCAAAAGATCGATCCTGGCACACGTTGACTCCGATAGGAGACGACAGACTTTTCCTTTTTGGTGGACTAAGTTCTGATAATGTTCCTTTAAGTAAGTAATTCCGAGTTTGTAATTCTCTTGTACACTTTAGTACTAACGTCATCTAGTGTGCACATTTGTTGTCTTCCTCAAAATACTTTAGACCTAATCTTGTTACAGAATTTTCATGGCGCTTGAGTATTTCTCTAGCTAGATTATTATTATTATTATTATAGAAATAGAGGCGCACATTACATAGTAAAATGAGAACGTCTGATAATCCTTCATCAAACTGTCATCTAAAAGAATAAAGGCAAGAGCCTCATGCATTTTAATGTGAACAAGAGGTAACTTTTGATATCAGTAGCAATTGCAGGAAGAAGATAACGAATAAGAATGTCAACATAATGCAGATTTTTGGATGAATAATAAATCACAGCTGCAAAATGTTCAATAGGGGAGTAGGATAGTCTTACGCTGAGTTTCTTTTCTAGAAAAGGCAACTTCTTTTCATGAAAAAAATGTGACACTGGTGAAAAGAGTTTTGAGTGTCACAGGTACATCCCCCCGGGAGGGGGCAATTTTCTGCCTGTGTGCAAAAGGAAAAAAGTAAGTGTATTTTAATTTTGGATTTCAGTGCAGCGAGCTCTCTGTGACTGAATCGTCAAGTTAAATTACTGAAAAGATCCAAGTTACTGTAGCGAGGATATTACTATTACCTTAATACCTTATACTCTTAGAATACAGAGCTTTTTTTTATGTTAGTAAAAAAGGAATATTTGTCCCAAGAAAAAGTACTAACGTCTGTTCTTATTTGTAGGTGATGGCTGGATTCACAGCATTGCAACAAACGGATGGAAACAACTTACTCATTTGCCTAAGAGTAGGCCTAGGTATACAAAAATAGATAACATCAGCTGAAATTTAGGCATTTAGAAAGATAAAGTGATTTTCAATTGTTTAACATTATTTTTAAATGACACTCTAAGGATATTTTAGAAAATTAATGCTGTATGATTAAATAGTTTGCTTTACTGACTGATGTTCCTTCGTGCCTAGTGCAGCGTTCCTCCTCTCTAGAGTTGTTCTAGTTGATGCTTGCTTGCATGAAAAGATTTTTTTTGTGATGAAAGATCTGGGTGTCCAACTAACCTGGTGTTCCATAGCGAAATTGTTTTTATATAAGAAAATGTGTATCATGTAACCATTGAGGAATTAATAACCTAGGAGAATAATAAAAGTCAATTCATTTTGCTATGTTATTAGAAGCGTGAGGGGAGACAACCATGAAAAAGCTGTTGCGCCTTCTGGGGTCTAAAAGTATTATAAAATACCTTGTTTGTTTGTTGTTTTGCTGGGTTTTTTCCTGAGCTGAAGCCGCTAATTGGGATTACAGTTTTGCAAAACTAAATTTAATACTAAACAGCACAGTAAATGGGGACTTTTGTTACTTCGAAGATTTCTACTGCCAGCCGAAAAGGACTCAGTTCTAGAACACGTCTTCTCTTCCAGGCTCTGATCCCCTTCCCTCTCTAGTTTAAGACTACTGGAAAAAACAGATTTTCTCTGACTAAAGAAAGCAAGTTTCGTGTTCTGAACCAGAAGCTGCCATTGAGAACAGGTGCTTGCTGTATCAGAGCACAGACTTTTTTTACTTCTTTAACGCAGTGTTGGAAGCATTCTCTGTATTTAGCATGCAAATATTATTGAATTCATTTCCTGTAGGTGGTAAATGTTCAGTTTTCATGGAATTTGTTCTGTACGTTCACCCAAGTACTTTCAGCACAATTTTTTATCCTTTTAGCATAGCATACAATTCTGGTCTGGCATTTGCATGCTTGCTGCCTTACGTATATCTCGATTTTCTTCCTGTTCTAGGGTGTATTTTAAGTATAACAGCACTGTTAGACCAAGTTTTCTGTGTTCTTAGGTTTTAAACTCCTTCGAGCCCAAGGAAACTTATACCTTAGCTTCCTAGATTTTTTTCTGTCCTTTTAAAATCAGTGAACTGATACAAAGGGACTGATGACTGCCTTGAATAACAAAGCCCGTCATTAGCAGTCCAGGCTCATATTTGTCCTCGTGTTCAGCTCCTTCCGTAGATGATCTCATAAAAGTTTGCTGCCAGAGTGGGCTGCCTCACCTTCTGTCATTATTTGTACCAATGCATCACGGAAAAGGATCAGGAAGGGCCAGAATGTGGTTTTTCTTCAGCCAGCGCCCGAGGAGCTGCAGTTTACTCAGCAATTTATAAATGCAAACTAAAAGCCCAGCCTTTACCCTGCAGTTAAGCTGGAATAACATCAGTGCCTCAGGTGGCCATAGGGCTGGATGTTGGGAACCTGCAGTTCTTGAGCCCCAAGTGCTTTTTCAGCAATTCAATCCTATCCTGGGCGACAAAGTGGAACCGTCACCTGGCTGGGCTGCTGGAGGGACGGCTGAGCTGCAGTGAAAGCGCCAAAGAGGGTCCCTGAGGCTGCTATTGCTAAATTTGCCAGGGACTGGAGCACACACGCAGCCGAGATCCTCCCGAGAGACCAGAAGATTTTGGTGGGCAGTTTGTAGGCTGAGGACAGTCGCCTTTCTTTGACCTAATTCTTTATGGAAGTAAATCACCTCCCTCCTTTTTAAAAAAAAAAAAAAAGGTTTAATAGCTTTTTTCAGGAAATCCTGGAAACATGGATAAAAGGAGCTGTACCAAAAGCTATACCTGTTGATAGATTAAACTAATTTGAGTGTGAAGTACTTGTACTGTAATTGTATCCCTCTAATGACACAGGAATGCTGCAGGATTTCTGCAGCTGGAAAAGGTTTTCGTCAGTTCTGTGACTCGTGACATTCTGTGATTCTGTGACTTTACAGCAGGACTTAAAATGCACTGACAGTACTAGATACGTGTGTTCTTTTATACATTTGTTATTTCATGGTAACACATGGTAGATCATGCATACAGTCGTGTATTATCCTGATGCTTCTGCGAAATTAATTCCCTCCTTAAATCCTGTAAAGAATCATTTCCTTCAACCTTCATGTTTAGAAATTGCTAAAAAAATTGTCTTGCAGGTTATAGACCTATGATTCCATGTTGATTTCCGGTAGAAAAGATTTTTCTTCTTTCCGTCCATCACTTGTGCTTCGGCTAACATTTTGCATGCCAGCTTAAAAATGCAGAACAAATTGTATGTTTGACTTACAGATTCCCAGGGTTTTTCCTTACGATGTCCTTCTGTTACTCGAGTTAGGAGAGCTGCGTAAAAACGGTCACATCGGTTCGACACCTGTGTAATTTGAATAACATGCTTTGTTAGAATGTTTAGGTGATAAGTTAGAGCAGCTGTGAGAGGACATAAATTCGGTCAGGCTGTAGAAAAGGCATCAGGTTGCGAGCTAGGATGTCACCAAAGTGAAGGCAGGAAAGGCTCCCTCCCCTGTGTCCTCCGGTGATGAAGTCCAGGCCACAGAGTTGTCCTAATGCAGATATAAGGCAGAGACAGATCTATCGTACAGGTATGGGGAAGAGAACAGGTGGGATACAGTTCAGCTTAAGGAGAATAGTGAATAATTACTGGTGTGAACGGAGTAAGAGAGAGCGAACGTTCACTTTTGCACGAGAGCTCGAGCAGCGCGTATTTCTTTTTGCTTCAGGAAAATTAACGATTTTGATGTGCTATTAATGAAAAGTAAATCTAGCAAGGTGTAGCTGCTGAAGTAGCAGAATCTTTGTTAAAGCAAAATTTTACAAGGCGGGTTTTGGGCTGGTTTGTTGGGGTTTTTTTCTTAATACCGTGTGCTTTTATATGCTCAACACAAAACTTGCTTGTGGGTATGATGTGAGTAATGGACACGCAGAAAATGATCCCCAGGAATCTTTGGGGGAGAGCATAAAATGGAAACAGGGTAACTTGTGATCTGAAGTGTTGGGGAGCAGAGTCTGTACTAAAAACCCCGCAATCTTAAAGCTGTTAGAACTGTAGTCCTGAATTTAAAAAAAAATAGTGGAAAATTTAAAAAGAAAAAGCTGTTCTTGGTAAAAAGCTTGTTTTGTAGAGTTATTGTGTTTTCCAGAAATTTTCCACTGTAACGTTTTGTCAAAGTAGCAATAAATAAGACAAAGTATTTCTAGAGAGAGAGTGCAGAAGAGTCAAATAACGACAAAAATATATCAGTCTGCATGAAATGTAATCATTCAGCAAAGTTCTCATGAGGCCGACGGTTGCATTGCTCCCTCCTTTTAGATTCTTAAAGAAACAAGTAATACCATATTTTTAAGTATGATTTTTTTTAACCTCTGAAGACTTTTGAAATAACGTCTTCATCTTGGTTTCTTTAGAAGGAAGGGTTACGCTAGAGTGCTCCGTGCCCGTACAGCTGCCTCTCCTGCCCGTGGACATTTTGAATCAATTGACCAATTTGGGTAGTATTTGCCAAAAGCAGCAGGAAGCTCAGAGATACAAAGTCCCAACATACTCTGTGCAAATAAACAGTCAGATAAGAGGGACTTCTCCTAATTGCCTTGCTCTACCAAGCACTCCGCGTTCCTTCTCCCTGAGCACCAATGGTCTATCTTTGAGAGACGGGTTGAAAAAGAACGGGCTGTATCGTTGCTGCAGAGCAACTCGTCAGACACGTCTCTTAAAATCATAAAATTCTTCCGGGTGAGTGGCGAGGCCAGGAAGAGTGACAGAATCTGGGGAATCACACTTTTAGGAAAGTGACCTTTCCATTTGAGATAAAAGGAATTTATGTCTTTGTGGCAAAAGGCTCTTTTGCAAAAAAGCTTGAGCATGAAGCGCAGAGGAGAGTCAGTGTGAGGCGAAGAGGTTAATACACGACTGAGCTTACTGCTTCTCTGAAACCCTTCAAAACACGTAGTTTTTAGATTCGTTTTGCTGATAACCCACAAGTGCTCCTTGCTACTTGGTCACTGATTCTGTTCATAATTTTGTGTTCTAGGTTGTGGCACACCGCGTGTCTTGGGAAAGAAGGAGAAGTGATGGTGTTCGGTGGGAGCAAAGATGACTTGCATTTCCTGGACACGGTCAGTAAACTGAGTAACGAAACTCTATCACTTTGGCAATTAAAATGAATACAAAATAAAGTTAATGCGATTGGGGTTATTACTGGGCTCATGCCTGTCATGTGGCATTGTGAGATGTGACCTTAGGTGTTCTTGGAAAGTACTTTAAGAGGGTTTTTTCCTGCCCTCGTTAGGCTCATAAAAGGGAATTTGTTCTTTGGATTCTTTATAAATAATTATTTGGGTATTACCAGTTTAAAATTGTGCATGTGGGAATAAATGGGACATCAGCCTAGAGAAGAGCAGTATTTCTGAGATAAACTGTTCATCATTTTAATGGTTTTGGGGTTTTTTTTCTGTTGATCAGGGTCACTGCAGTGACTTGTTGATATTTCAGACGCAGCCATATTCACTTCTCAGGTGAGTTAACTGGCACAAAGAGCCGAGCGTGAATCATGATGGTGCTGTGCTTTTACCCACGGGTTTTAGCCACGTACCCCTACACAGGCAGGTAAAATATAAAATTCCCTCCTCGGTAAATACATGTGGCAATCCATAGCAGTTTAAACACTGGGGTGTGCAAAACTCTCCTGCACATGCAAGCACAGCGCACGTCGTGAGCGTCACAAGCTTTAGGTGTCACTTTTTTGTCTTGAAGTTAGAAACCATTTACTTAAATCTTTTTATTTCTTTTTTCCTTCTTCAGGTTGTGTCTTGACTGCATCGGTAAAAATGCCACTCTCTTAAAGAATCAGATCCCGTGCTTGCCATCGAAGCTTCTGCAGCAAGTGCTGAAAAAAATCACCTTCTGGGCTGCAGCTAACCACCGGCAAGAGAAAAAAGCTGAAACGGAAAGACAAAGTCAACTAAACACCACATGAACAATGGCAGAGGACTGTTGAAGGCTGGTTTATTTACGGTGTACAGCCAAAGTCTTTTGTTAGTGAACTTTACTAATGTTACGGAACAACTGTGTGTTAAGCTGAGTTTCCAAGTGAGGTTTGAGAACAAAGAAATCCTTTTTATGGAAGTCTCTTTTGTTTTCTGAGTTGCGAGAAAAACGATAAAACGTTATTTGTATATATTGTTAACTTCTGCTGTTGTGGTCTTAATGAGACAGTCCATACAACTTGTTCTTTTTGAAGGTGCCGATGATACCAAACTGTTTTCGGTTGGATAAAACATGGCTTAAGTCTAAAAAAATCTTACTACGGCCTTATCGCATCAGCCTTTCTGAAAAGATAAAATCCGTTCAACGCAGTGTCTTTGGAAGATTCACACTTGTCAGCCTTGGAAAAGGCAACTTAATTTGCCAACGCCGCCGAATCTGATTGTTTGATCCCACCAGACTCTGTCGTCTGACTGTCTGGTGAGAGGATAGAGCCAGATGTCTTACTCCAAGTAGGAAAATCCGTGGGTCAGCCACGGAACCTAAAGAGAAAGCTGCGGTGAGCAGCGTTACTGTTGGTATAGGAAAGCTTACATGCAGTTCGTAATCTGGTTTTACAGTGTTTCTGTAATCAATGAGTCCTTTTCGAAATAGGTTGTATATTGTATTTTGGACGTGTAAAGTTTATATTTAATTCTTGTTTAAAAAAAAAAGCTTATTTATTGTTTAAAAAAAGAACATATGTAGTACCTGCTATTTTTCGGTTTCAAATATTTAGTTAACAGGAGCACAGTCATTAAAATTTTATAGAGTTGAATCAAGACCAGTTTTGACAAGTTTTTCTAACATTTTTACAACCTGCAAAAGTTAATCGGGGAAAAAGGGGTGTTTTGGAGCCAAGTTACCTCATAAGGGGAAGTTTTGTGCCTGGGTATTGTGACAGAGCCATCATTTTATACGTGCTAAACTTGAGCATTTTAGCATTGGGTGGCTTTTATTTTAATGGAGGAGTTGCCATCTCTCGGCTAACATGGTTATTGTCTTGATGAAGAAACACCCCAAGTCTCTGCTGCTCCCAAAGTTTTCTCCAGGGTGGTGAGGGGTGGGCATTGTGCTGACAGACCACAGCACAACTCATTTTCCCCTGTGGATCAATCTTCCCTCACAGCCATGGCCACCACAGCCCCAAGTTGCTGTGGGTCGCACCAGAGGTTTGTGCGGCCGGGTTTCGTTAGCAGTGGGGCTACAGAGGGTGGCTTCTGCAAGGAGCTGCTCGCAGCTTCCCCCATGTCGCACAGAGCCAAGGCCAGCTGGCTCTGAAGATGGACGCGGCACCAGGCAAGGCCGAACCTATCGGTGATGGTGGCGACGCCTCTGGGATAACACATTTAAGAAGCAAGGAAGAAAAACTACGGCGTGACTGCAGAGAGAGAGGAGTCAGAATGTGTGAAGACGCGAATGCTGATGAAGAAGGAGGAGGAGGGTGCACTCCAGGTGCCGGAGCAGAGATTCCCTGGGGTTGTGGTGAGGCCCATGGTGAGGCAGGCCCTCCGCCTGCAGCCCATGGTGGGACGGGGTGTCGGTGTCCACCTGTGGAAGACCCCAGGCCAGAGTGGGTGGGTGCCTGAAGGGGCTGTGA